AACATCGCACACGGTACCTGTTATTTTCTTCTCTCTTTTTCAATACAAAAATGTCTTGTTAATAATAAAATAATCAACAATATAAAAATTGGAGTCACATCTACCCAAATGAATCGTTAAGATATGTCTAAGAAAATGCCATCCAAAATGTTCATTGAAAGAGTGGATCACATAGCTTTTAACCTTATCAGTTAAAAGAGATAAAAATAAGTTTACAACAACAAATTTTATTTTATTTTATATCACATCATTTATTTATTATTTTATTTCCTTCTTTCTCTATTTACATCTCTGTAATTTATTGTTAAAAGAAGTATCATAGTGAAAAATATTTTGGGATTTTTTTTACCGAATCTACTAATACCATGTAATGGATCTTGGTAGAATAAGACTTTATATTGTTGTATTTTAAGTAAGATGAAAACAATACTATGTAAATGTTTTTAACCCACCACTCTCTCTCTCTCTCTCTCTCTCTCTCTCTCTAGATGTTGAGGATGGTGATAAAAATTCCAAAATTCTGGTACGACACTGTGGTTAGTTTTTGTCACATGAAGGACTACACTTTCACTGACTAAGAAGTTTAGCAAAGGTACGAGCAAGTGCTTTTACAAAATACAAACGACAACTAGGGGCTGCGCAAATTAGGATGTGACCCGTCAATGAAGTGTTTGTGATTAATGATTAATCCCACTGAATTACCAAAACTCCATCAAAACAGTACAAATTCTCTTCCCTCGCCCCACACATGAAATTGAAAATGAAAGATGTAATGTAAACCCATTTTTGAGGACCCAGTGGAACAGCTTGGATTGATTGCTCTGTTTATTTAAAGAGTGGTACCAAAGTCTTATGATAAAGCACAGTACAATACATTAGCATGTGTTTTGATTAATTATGGAAGACGTATTTTAAAAATGAATTGTATTTATGTTTTTAAAAGATATTTTTTAATACAATTATAAAAATAAAGAAAATTATTTATAATAGTTAGTTTTGTATTTAAAATAATTAAGTACTAAGAATAAATTTAAAAAATTAGTTAAAAATAATCTCATAAATTTTAATCATGAGTTTCATAAGTTTTCTTATGATAAAAATGCTTTTTACCATTATATATATATATATATATATATATATATATATAATTTTGTTAATTTTATCGCAACATTTATTTTTTTAGAACACAAAGTGATGTATAATTAGGTGTATATAACATTCAAGGTTTTGGCTTATGTGAATGGGTTAGGTGGACTGTTGATACATTTTTTTTAAAATATAATTAAAGAGAATAAATGGTATGAGATTGCACATCCTCCAGTCATTTATTTACTACAGAAATTCATTTTCGTCCAACTTTATGTATGTTTGGATGGGAATTAAATTTATTTTTAAATAAAATTAAATTTATTACAAACGGCCACTGAAACACACTTTATCTAATTTATACAACATAATTATCATTGCATAAGAACTTTGTTATTTGTATAGCACAATAACTATATTTCTTTTTTGCATCTCTTTATTTCTGAAAATACATATACTATAATATTTTAATGTCATGATATAGAGAGTAATAAAAGTAATGTGCATAATGGATAGCACTTAATGAGAGATAAAAAAAGACAAGTACTGTAACTGGGGATTATTAAGGGCCCAAAGAGATTTACAGAAAGAGTCCCATTAACCTCTGCATCAAATATTTCAGTGGCTCTGTGCAAGTGGGAAGGTCCCCAGCTATGTATGTATGTGGTGTTTGTCGTTGGCATCCAATCAATGAAACAAAACACATTTGACTTCAACAGTATGTATTTCAGAAGGTAAAATATGCATATAAAAATAGTTAACTAAAAAGGTATTCGACTAAATTTATCAATTTTATAATGTAGTATACGTGCCGACGGATATTATGTGATAATTTTAATTATTTTTTAATCAAAGTAATAATTTATATGCTCTGTAAAAAATTATTTATCGTAAAGAAAAATTGGTTTATTAAGACTATCTTTATTTATAAAAATTAATCGTTAGCATAGAAATAATAAATTTATATCAATAAATAGTGTAATATTAATATTTTATTTATTTCTATTATTCATAAAAAAAATGATGAAAAAAATCTTATGATTAATTTTAAGGATTTAAAAAAATAAAATTTCATTAAAAAATAAATATTACATGAAATATAATGAATATTTTTTAAATTAAATTTTAATACTCTAAAATTTTCAATTTAATCCAGTCTCCCAATTTTTTTTTATTTTTACTAATTCTTCTATCAGTAATTTGTTAATTATTATATTATTAATTTGTTTACATAAAATTTAAGTTATCTCGTATAACTTGTTAAAAATATGATACAGAGCAAAACTGCATATAATAGCATCATATTTTTCATATTTTTAAATAAATTTTAGTTAATAAAGTTAAAATATTTTAAATCGATATTTAAAATATATATATAAAAAAGAAGTGTTACATTGTATAGAAAGAGAACGAACTTGCAAAAATTTTATGCTCAAAGTTTAATTGACTGTGCAAAGTGCTATATGTGTATAATATGATTGGATTCAAGTTTCAAATTTTGTAATAAAATCAAAGACTAAGAAACACACAAAAAGTGAAATATTTGGTACATTTGAAATAAACAGTTATGCAAGTAATTATGATATTCAAATGTGTATGTTTTGTTATAAGAAATTAGTATATATTATTGAGATAAACTACCGTAATCAATTTTGTTACTTTTTTCCAATCCATGTTGGTATTCAATTAAGCATAAAGGGATTAGATCGAATGGTCTAGGATTAGATTGGTAAGTTTGGCATGCTTGATATGCATCGATGACTGTGAAATGATCCATACATTTAAGCTTAGAAGGTCGGCTTAAAAAGTTTATTATATAAAAAATGAATTAGATAAAAATTAGAGTATACTTATACATCTAAATAAAAAAATAAAAAACAACCCTACTTGTCATAAGTGAAGTTTATGACAATACTTTCATGAACGTTGGTCACATCAATAATAAAAGTTAAAAGGAATATATCATTACCAATGTGTTGTTTTCAAATATCATTTATCTATTAACCGTAGTTTAATTCTATTTATATTATTGATAATTTTTACTATAAGTACAAGAAATTCTAGATTCTGCAAAAGGTGAAAAGAATTGGTGAAACAGATTAGAAATTCTAGCTATTGCAAGAAAATGATCGCAATATTACGACATTATAAATTAGGAGAATTTTTATGTGAATTTTCCATCAATGATGACAAAGGAAAGGAATGACACTCGATCTCAAGAAAAATTAAATCTTATTTTTCTTTAAAATTTTACATTAAATTTATGTGACTGTATTTTGAGTCTCATTTGTTTGATTCACATTTGCTTTTTAATGAGTTTTTTCTTTGTGATATTATTATTAATTTTGTTGTTTTGTTTTTGTTAAAACAAGGCACTTAAGTGACAATGAAAGTAAATTATTTTGTATTGTTTTGAAGCTGAATCTGTTGATTGGGAGAGGGGTGATCGGGAAGAGGTTGTAGTATTTTGGTTTGTTTACTTTGCTGCGAAAACAATTACCCACGGTTGTATGGAGAATTAAAGAGATGAAGCGGGTGGGTAGTAGACATTTTTTTATGCAAACTATTACTGGGTTTTATATCAAACGGAGGGAGGCTTTGTGTGATGCACATGTGCATGAAATTAAATTTTTAATTCTTTAGGAATTCATTTTGCGTTTAGTGTTTCTAACTTTTCATAATTACCATGTCGTACACAATGGATAAGGATCTAAGTACCATGTGACACGCCCCCTAAAAGAATTGCCAAATGATCAATACCCATAAAAAAAAAAAAAGTAATTGGAATCTCAATGACCAGAGGCTTTCATGTCGACCGTAAAAACACTGAAGCATTTAGATTTTCAATACAAGTTTAGAGAAGGGTAAAATATAAGAATGAAATTGAGTACCGGTGGATAGGATAAGATTCACCTCCAAACTGGAGAGAAAAAAATATTTATGAAAAATGTTAGATATATATTGAGAATAATTAATTAAAAATGTTTTAAAAAATTATCATCTTGAGAATAAAAAGTATAATAAATATTATATATTTTTTATTATTAATAAAAAAATTACTATATTTACATACTAAATTCAGTTATAACACTGAAATTAGCAAATTCGATTATTTATATATAAGAGAAAAAAAAAAAAAAGAGAAAGCATTTGAGAAGAGTCTTAATCTTTTACAAGATTGAACTAGTTAAAAGAGATATTTTGTAGGGCTTATTTGGATGCTAGAAAAGTCATAATTCAAAAAAAAAAAAAAAGAGTTTGTTCATTTGCACAGTAAGTAGTTTCCATCTTATGAGCTGAAAAGAACGGATAAATTAACGATGATGTGAAAACTAAGAAGCTAAGGAAGCATTCCTTCCTTCCATGAGTCGTGTCAACAGAGACATGTTTGAACCAGCTCTAATGCCATGAAGATGTTGAAGATCGGAAAAATGGAGGAACACGCACAAAACCAATTCTGTGGATTTTAATTTTCATCATATTGAATATTAAATAATGAAAGAAGTCTAAATTAAACAGATAACAGACGTGAGACATTGGAGGGAGGGGAAGATGATTAATTAGTCAAAACAATAATCTCGTAAGTAGGGAATATTTAGCTAATGACAACTACACTAGAAATATTAGCTCTATATAATAGCTGTACATGGAATAATAATAATAAAGAAAACAAAAAATAATGATGAAAGTCACGTGAATTCCAGCTCACTGCGGGGGAGAAAAAAAAGGTTGGACTTTCAACAAAGTAAAATCACTCGTGCACCCTTTTCTTTTGGATCTTCCTTCAACCCTCTAAAACAACTTAAGCAACAACCTGCAACAAAATAATAATAATAATAATAAAATACATTTTCATATTTTTACCCTTAAATAATATTTTTTTTATTGTCACATAACTTCAATAGAATCTGAAAATGAAGAGAGAATCAATATATACACTCTCTTTTCTCGTACTCCTACCGTCTTCCATATTATTTTTCAACTTTGTGTACCCCGATCGACAGTTTCTTTCTCGCTTTGCTTTCTTAATCAATAATTCAAAGAAATCGACATTCATCGAAGGTTGCGATTATTCCAAAGGTCGTTGGGTGTGGGATGAAAAATACCCACATCGATTATACGACGAAAGCTGTCCCTTTCTTGATCCCGGATTCCGTTGCAGCCAAAACGGACGCAAATATGGAGGTTTTCGTAAGTGGAGATGGCAACCTGATGGCTGTAACATTCCCCGGTATGTGACTTGCGCGTTAGTATATATACGTCGGCATCATCGTGTCATGCACTCTTTGCTGCATATTTTCATGCGTGGTTATGTATATGTATGTATTCTTGATCCGTTTTCCAAAGGGTCTGTGTACATTTGTGATAAAATAAAATCTCATATTGTCGACAATAATATGGATTCATGTGGATTTGTGTTGGAGGAAGAGGAAAATATAAAAAAAGCGAATTTTTATTGCTTTTAGCACACGATATAAGAGTATGATTCTCCATTTATATTAAGCTAAGAGTAACCCTTAGGTTGTCAAACGTAATTGCTAATCAATGTTAATTAGTGTCACACTTTTAAAGGAAATAAAAGTTAAATAATAATTTTTTAACTCTTCACATAACTAGTATTGATACTATGACAACTCATAACCTTTAACATCATAACTAAGACCAATTTTATTTTCGAATTATGTCTAACAGTTTCCAAGTTTTTTTTTTTTTTCCAATTACAAAAATAGTTAAGTGAGGGTGTACCTTTCAGAAGTGTAAGGGAGAATTGAGTCTAATACTATATAATTGTTGTGTGGTTTAACCTCCTATGAACATGACACTAGTGCTCAACAAATGAAACTGGTAGTGCCCAAACGAAATACAATGGTTGAACATGTAACCTTCGAGATTGACATTATAATTCTACCTTCCCCACCCCAAATAGCAATAAATATAACTGACTAGCTAGCTACCCATTGCAATTTTTTCTTAATTTGTATGGTACATTACTACATTCTAAAACTCATGAGTGGCTGATAACAACTTCTCTTGATGTTATCGTGATGTAACTCAGATTCAATGCCAGTGACCTTCTAGAGAGGAGTCGCAATGGGCGCATTGTATTTGCGGGTGATTCCGTAGGCAGAAACCAATGGGAGTCATTACTGTGCATGTTGACACAAGGGGTCTCTAACCTGTCTAAAATATATGAAGTGAATGGAAGTCCCATAAGCAAACACAAGGGCTACCTGGCCATGAAGTTTCAGGAATACAACGTGACAGTAGAGTACTACAGGACACCCTTCTTGTGCATTACAGGTCGTCCACCTCCCAATTCATCCAATCAAGTCCGAGCGACTATCAGGCTTGACGAGTTGCACTGGTATTCCAATAAGTGGGTTGGAGCAGATGTTCTTATTTTCAATTCCGGCCATTGGTGGAACCCAGACAAAACTTCCAAGACGTAGGAACAACCACAACCATTTCTTCTTAGATCACTGACTTTCTTAGTTGTTCAAATTTAGTGCTGGCTATTTTCTTAATAAACTTTGATTCAAAAGCCAGCACTATATATATATAGATAGATTAACAAGTGTTTTTTCAAAAACAGCTTCAGTATGTCGTCAAAATATTTTTAGGAGCTCAAAAGCTTAAAAAAAAAAACTTCCTTTTACAAAAATATTTTCCGAATATCTTATGTTAAATAATGTAAATATTTGTAAAATATGTTTTACGATCGAAAATAACACATTTAAACGAGCTCCTTAAATTGTGCAGGGGTAGCTACTTCCAGGAAGGAGGGAAGGTAAATATGACCATGAACGTAAAAGAAGCATTTAGGAGATCCTTACAGGCATGGAAGTCATGGGCATTGGGTAATCTTGATCCTAGGAGGAGTCTCGTCTTCTTTCGTAGCTATTCCTCCGTTCATTACAGGCAAGTAGTACATTGGCACAATTTTTTCTCTTTGATACTGACAAAGTAAAACATTCCCGACGACACGGCCATAAGAGAAATAGTTCTAACATTTTTTTTAACACCTTAAAACCTTTCGTGCATTGAGAGAGGCCTAGACACGATCCAAATGAATAACCGCAGTTTTGGACAAAATTCTTCGGGGCTGCCTGCCCAACAGAAGTTAGTTTCCAAAACATTTATTTTTCTACTGACTTTTCTATAACCTTTTCTACAACTAAGAGAAATTAAGAGAGAGAAAGTGTGAGATTAGTAATATATCTAAAAAAAGATAAGAGATTGAAAAAATGAATTTTAGAAAAATGTTACAAAAATATGCTATAAAAAAAAAGAACGACTCTTTTCAAAAGTATGCATATGAAAATGCTTGGGTCACATCACTCACATCTCTTTAAGTGACCAAAGCAGAGTTTAGGTAAGGTAATGTAAAACCTATGTAAAGCCCAAATGTATTAAGTTGGTGAAAACGTAGATAGGAAGTGATACGTATAATGTCCAGTATTGTTCTCTAAAAAGAGAAAGATGCAGCTTGGGATTACAAAAGCAGTCATCGGGCAGAAAAAATAGGAAGTTCATCAGCAAAAATATTTCAAGTAACAAGACCTTTTGTTTTCGGCCAAACAAGAGGCATGTTAACTCGCTTCAAAACTCTTGCTCAAATTAACTCATCCTACATATTTTCGTGATTTCTTCTGGCCATCCACCCCATGATAAAATTATATAAAAATTGGATGCTAAAACACAGCTGTATAACTAAAATTATAACTCTCTTCACTTGACTTGGAAATCATTTATGGATATGAAATCGGATTTTTTTATCCCCTTCTCCCCAATATTCTAGCGATATTTTTTAATATAGCTAAAAGTTTATGTATTTGGGGGTGCGGGGTTTGGATGACAAGCTGAGGCAAGCCTTAGAATACTGGGACTGGCTTCGGATTACATTTGGACAAGAATCTTTACTCTACAGTGAAATTGCAGGAATGGCACATGGAATGAAGGAGGATACTGTGACATGGAAACAGAACCAGAAAACGACCCTACAAAAATTGAAAGTGAACCATATTATAACATATTTATATCTGATGTTGTCAAACAGATGCAATATGGCAGCTGGAAAATCCACTTTTTGAACATCACATATCTTTCAGAGTTGAGGAAAGATGGGCACCCTTCCAAGTATCGGGAGCCAGGCACTCCGCCTGATGCCCCACAGGATTGTAGCCACTGGTGCTTACCAGGAGTTCCAGACACCTGGAACGAACTTCTTTATGCTCAACTCCTATCGGAGAAATATGGCATCAGAAACTTTCCAGAAAGTGAATAACAAAGCCAGTCCAATTTTCATCAGACCACAAAGAATGTTAAGTTTTGCTAGCTATGCATAAATCGGCATTGCTTCTGATCATTTAACTTCATCCACTTCGTCATCTGTGCCCATATCACTGGCTGTCATTTGCTTCACTTTCTCCAGCTGCCTCAAGAGATCCAACCTTTCTGGTGCATAAGTGGATGGAATCTGGAAGAAAGAAGGTTTAGTAATCCTAATGACATGATTATTGGAGAATTAACATCTGAATAGGAGATGGAAAAATGAAACAGCTAGTCATCGTGTGCATACTAGAGATGGTACATATCTCTGAATAGCAGCCAACATTGCTGCATGCCCAACGGCAGTAACCTGTGCAAAATAAACATTGTCTTCCTTAGTAGGTTACACTGGACCATTAGCCTAAGGAAAGAGCCACATCTAACATTGGAGAGATAATTTTCTATGCACAAGAAATAAAAATATATGAAATTCCAATATGTTCATTTATTTCATTTTTTTTTCTCTTTTACATTTTCTATAAGTAAAGAGTTCTTTATCTTATCTTTCTAGTTCAATATTTATAGGAGGAAGACGAATTAACGCCAAAAAAAAAAAAAAAAAAAACTATTAATTGATCATACCATGTTTGGCAGAGTCATACTCACTAGGAAAAATAATTGGAGGAAGCAAGAATCTCTTGCATCCGCAGAATCAATAAATTAATTGCCATTGATTCACAAACAGTATTAAAATAACTTAGAGATATACTAATAATGTCATTCATAATCCTTCACTTAATAGCATTACTTTTAGGAGTGTTAGTCCTTAACATAGTATCTAAGTCTCCACAATTCAGTGATCTAGAGTTTAATCAATGTTTGCTCACATTGATCTAAGAAAACCAATTTCAACATGTGGTATAAAGGGGCTGGTGCATTGCCATGTTTACTCAAGTCAGGGAGTTGGTTAGAACATGATAAAGCCATTTATGGAGTATTTAACTAACAACTCAAGCTTTCAGGAGAGTTGATCCAAGTCCTTTGGTGTTCTGGATCTACTAATTGCATAAAAAGAAAAAAGAAATCAGTATGTGGTGAAGTAGGCTGCAAAATGTCCATACTTCAAGACAAAAGGTTTGCAAGAAATATAACCAAAGTTAGACATTGATAGGATATCAGAGCCTCTTTTAAGTTTTAATCCTTGCTGCCTCCACTCTTCTGACCAAAAGTTAAAATTCAGGCCAAAGTGCATGGTAGTAATGGCCTTTGGCATTGTACACACTCCAAACTCAAAGTGCCTTGCATGAGGGGGCATGTTAAAGAACTAATAAAGCTATTCATAAGTCATTAGTCATAACCAAGTAGTTTAAGCTTGTTGGGTTATTAATCCTCGATAAGAATATTGTGTCTAAATCTTCTGCGACACCTTAGCACAATTGAAAGGTTGCTACCCTTATGATAGTGATCATGGGTTCTAATCGCCAACACAACCTTTCCACCCAAGGGATAAGACTACAGAAATCTGACCCTCCATAGACCTCTCAACAGTGGGAGCCCCATGCATTTCACCTCACCCCTTGGTACGTATGTATATGGGACTGTTAATTAATCAACCCAACCTAGCCTTTATGTTTGATGAGTTAAACGAGTCCGTCTATCACACCCATAGAATAAATAAATTCAAGAAAAACTTAAGAATTACAAATGAGTAAGAAGAAAAAACATTGAATTTAGAGGGAGAGAATTTAAAGAAAAAGGGAGAACTTTCAGAATGAAACAGTTTCTTATTTAGTCGAATGTGTAGTACATGGGTTTGGTATATCATTCATATATCTTTAGTCTCTTAATAGATTAAGTGAAGACTATTAATTAAGTGCAACTTCCTAGACACTAATACCCATATTAAATGCATACAAACATGACATACTATTTTCTAAGTAAATTAATATCATCATTTGCAACGAAAATCATTAAATAAGAAATCAAATTACGGGTTGAATATTAAGATTTGTTTATATAAGTTTTGTTTCTTTTTAAATTTTGGTTTGCCAACTAGTGAGTGGGGGTGAAAACGATGAAGAAGACCCATATTTAAACAAGATAATGCTTTAGAACCCTAACCTAATTTTAATGGGTTTTTTGTGATTATGAATGAACAATATGATTCTCTAGCCTAAGCAAGATGTGATGCAGATATAGATGATGGCAACAATAGAAAAGGTGTTCAACTCACTGGAAGAAGCATTAAAACGCCAATAGGAACAACTGAAGCCATGTCAGTCAAGGTCCTTTTAAGTGTTTTTTTCTCTTTCTCAGTCAGTTCATCCCCTATCAGTGCCCTTCTAAGTAAACCCATGGCAACAGCAACATCAATGGCGAGAAGTTGAGTTCCTTGCCAGACATCCTGCTTATTGAGTAGAAGAATTAAGATCTCTGATGTTAAAATCGAATATCAGATGACTTAATTTCAAATTTTCATGGGGATATTGTGAATATTATCAAAGACACTGTACAAACATATATTATGCCAGCCAATTTTTTCAGTTTATAGAGAAGTTGCCAGGGCAAAAAAGAAGTGGCTTCATCTGATCAATGAGATGATGCAGATGAATCCATAAACCAAATATACCAAGATAATATTTCCAAGAAAAGCCACCAGCCTAATCATACCGTTCCTGTTTCTTTTAGTTTGCCAAATGATTTTTCCAGGATATTTTCTTTCTTCTGAACCCTGGCTATCTGAACGCCCCCAGCATCATCACTATAACGGGCACCATCATCAATAACCAGTAAATCCTATAAAAGCAATATACAATGTTCAATCTAAAAGAAGAGTACAGGAAAAATAAACTTAACGAGAAGGACATATAGATAAAGACAAAGTAGTCAGTACCAATGACAGCAGGTCCAATCAAAAGCATTAAGCACAGAGCAAAGGCTTCAAATTCAAACTTCGAAACCCAAAAACACTTAGACAAGAATATATCATTTTTAACATTCCCCGTGTCTGGTCTGGATTGTCAGTGGAAAGCCTTTGCATCATCAGTTGATACAAAGACTATATATCAAGAAAGTGACTAAAGAAGCACTAGATGAATCAAAGATAACAAAGAAAGGATGGTGAAGACAACAAAACATGTATCCCAAGCCAAAAGCAATAGACAGTTTCAAAAATCTATATCTAGTTATCTACTATTTTATAAATAGCTTTTCAGCTTCAACCCCTGAGAAAGTTTGCAAACAAAAGCCTCATAAATCAATAAGCAAGATGTTAAGATAGAAACAGAATTAGGATGAACGTAGGTGGGATGATTATTAATAATGCATTTACCGAGCAAAAATTTTATATGCAATATAAAATCATAAACTTGTAACTTATTGAATGTTTCAGACGTACTTCATTCTCTTCCGATTGATAGGCACTTCTTTGGACCCGTTCCTCAAGTTCTATTAGCTCATTTCGCAGAAGCTCAAAGCGGCGGATTTCATTGGGTTCTTGGTCCACAACCCCTAAGTTTGCTGCAGATTGTTCATTATTATTTTCCTTCAAACAAGATAGCACGCCCATGTTACTTAAAGCTCAACACAGTATCCACCCACTAATTAGAAAAAATAGTGATCAAACCAAATGCAGCACAAAGCCAGTTTACATACTGACATTTGCAAATTGAAACAATCTATATCTGTGATAACATTTAAGTGCCTGATTTGGTGGCCTACGAGCAGAGGCAGGGTGAAACAGAGGCTCATCCTCAAGTGGCCTGAAACAGGGTGGGTTGCACAAGGGAGCAGCACAGTGCCCATTTCTCCTTGATGCAAATGCAATGAAACAGCCATATCATGCAATTTCAGCAATTTGATTCAAGTATCCTCCTCACTATAACACTCTAATACCCAATACGTATCTAATTTAAAGGGATTTCTCTTCCCATTTTTCTAGAATGTCAAGTCATTTATTTTAATAGACTATTTATTGCCTAAAATTAGACTACAAACCCAATATAATCTTTATTGCCAATCAAATAGTGATTTTTTTTCTCATTTAAATGATTCAAAATTGATTATAATTAGACAAGATCAGAAGACAACTAATGAAGAACTTGTAACAATAAAAAACAGTTACAATAAACATGCTATGCTAATACATATTTAACACAAGAAAAATAAAATCAAATAGACAGTTATGAGCTATGTTACACCAAAGATATAAAAAGAAAATTAACATCATCAAAATATAAGGTTGACAATGCATACATAAGCCTCCACATTGGACTCCAGATCAGACTTTCTGGCAACAGGACGTACAAAGATGTTCAAGAATCCACGGGATTTTCCAGCATTTCTGAAAAAAAAAATTATTTGATATGAAATCTAATGAGGGAAAAAAAATCCCCCAAAAGCAGAAGAAATTAACAGCTGGCAATGGTACTTTTCAGAAACCAATAACTAGACACAAAAATAAACAAGCCAAAATATACTAAACACTTCATACCTTTTGCTCCTGTCCAACCTTAAATTAGTATTCTTTCTGCCTTTCCCTTTTATATACCCATCCTCTTCACGAACTGGTGCATAGGTCTGACCATCATTAACCCCCTGAATATGTATAATAGAAACATAATTGACAATAAAACAGAGATCCTCAAAAAGCAAGCATGTGACTAGTATACAGATAAGTCAAGCAAGACAAGACTATTGTGCAAGGAAATGATAGTACAACCCAGAGGCATGACAAGAAGAAAACTGCATTAACCAAGCATACTACCAAAGTTGCATCAATGTTCACCAAATTTTTAAGCAAAGATACATACAAAGAAGATCACGAATTCAAGATCTAAGTTCAGGGATGAAAGCAAAGCAAAGGGAGGCATGACCACCTTCTTGCCTCCCCCATCTGCATTTCATTTTTTATATAAATACTATTGTATTAATTTGTAAACTTGAAAAATTAAAGTGCCATTTAAGTTAATAAGTGTGTACTATTCTATAGGTTATTTGGTCTACCAATTCAATAAACAAATAACAAAAATAAACTTTTATCAAAAGAGACAGCTCAAACAAAGTATTGAGCTTAACTTTTATTAATGTATGGCACATTCACTTTTTAGGGAATGAAACTCCTAAACTTACATTCAAATATCTTAATTTAAAGTAAATGTCCATTTTGACCTTTTAAATACACAATAATCATCATGTTGGTCCTCTATTTATAAGCAGCAATATGGCCCTTCAAGTTGCACCAGATTAATCTTTTAACTGACGAAAATAACCATATTAATTTCCATTTAGGAACCAATTCGACATCTATAGACAACAAATGAAATGCATGCAAGGCCAATTAACTTCTATAATTGGTCCCGATAATTTCTGGATTTGTCCATGTACATAAAGAAATATAAACAATCACGATAAATGACAATGTTAAATCCACACAATTATTTGGAGCTAGAAACCAGAATAGAAGATCCCTGCTTTCAGGGAAAACAAGGAAAAGAAATCAACAAACAAAAAAGGGCAGTCATTGAAGAGTTAAAATAGTTTCAAGGTGGATATCCATTATGCATTGTTCCAAAGAATTCATAAAGGAGGCTGGTGAGAGAGAGGAAGGTGTACCTCTTGCAGAGAATCAGCTTTAGCTCTGAAAGATGCCTCCAGGAATTCAGCTTCTTTCTTAAGTTTTCTTATTTTTTCCAAGTCAGAACAGGCTGCTTTCAAATGCTCTTTTCCGGAACTAGAGCTTGACACATGCAACTCTTGAAGCAACTTTTCAAGTTTTATCACAGCCTCTTCAACACTTTTCAATGCCTGAAAATTGCATTCCAAGAGAAGGTATAAACAAGAATGAGATACATCAAAAGAAAAGGTTTGGGAACAATCTAAGTATGAAGCATGAAATTTGATAGGTTCAGCAATGAAATTTATACAACACAGAACAGAAAGGATCAAAGCAGCCCCACAACTTTTTGTTGGGTCACACCACCAGCATGCATACAAGGGCAGACATGTATTTAAAACCAAAGTTAAGGAATTGGGAGGGCGGGTAGTTTGAGGGGCACAGGAACAGATTGTCAAGTTCAACTGGAAAACCAATGAACTGGCCAGATGTCTGGTCCATACAACATACAGGACTGGCTAATTTCATAACCAGTGAAAGACTGACCAATCCATCCAAAGCTGGTAATCAAGAATCAGTTGGTTATCATTTTTTAGGTTTTTTAATTTAATTTTTAAAAATTTTTAACCAAAATTTTCTTTTAAACCATACAAAAGCCAAGGTTTATGTATTAAGCTCAGTTATGAATTATTATTATCTAGTATCTTGTTATTGATGCTATTTCTTATAGGATGCATATTATGATCATTTTACGCAAATTTAAATTATATTAGTTTATTACTTAATATATTATAAAACATTAAAAATATATTCAATTATTAATTTATCTATCATAAACCATCACTTGCGTGTTTAATGACTAATTCAATTTTTAAAACACCACTAGAATTAACAATCAATTTTGCACATATGGACTAATGTCTAAGCAGTGATCTTGTATGTATGAAAGATGGACTATGTATGTTTCTCTGTAATATGTATGTTTTACAAATATTCTGACTTCTATATCATTACTTTGTGTTGAACACATCACCAATCTTTCAGGTCCCTCTATGGATCAAATAAAAAAGCAACAAATATGTACATACAAATGTATACAATATTTTTCATGATTCTTTACCCAGTTACAATTGAAAACAGAAACAAATGTATATGTTCTACGGAGTGATAAGTAAAGTAGCATATCCTCCAACTCCAACTACGACAAAATATAGAAAACAAAATAGTTTTCCTTTTTTCCATGCTAACTAGGCAGTAGATAAGTTTCTAATCACTTTTTCCTTTTTTCATGCTAACTAGGCCCTATCTAAGGTTCCTGATTCTTTGTAGTCATTTGCTGTTTGCAACTTTGTATGTTTGTGGCCATGGCATTGATGGCAGATGATAACACACTGATACTGTGACAGCATGATAGTTACTTAATTGAAGCACAAGTAATTACCAATTTAAAACGTAAAGGTTCCCCAATTACATTATTCTTTACTTTATTCCTTAAAAATAGGTCTACCACAAATCAACAGAAAATAACTAATTTAACCAATTCAGAAGCAGCATTTGGCTCAAATTCAAATTGTGAAAGTGATAATCAAACTCCACTGGATAGTTAATGCCACACAGGTTGGATAATACAAGCTTATTCAGTTGGTACTTTTATCCCAAGTTTCTTGTATAACTCTATCTAGCCTGGTGATTAGCAAGAAATGATAAGATAAAACACACCCACAACAATCCCATCAGGTAATACCACAAATCCCACCTCCAGTTCACTGATGCCACCACCGTCCACCACAATCTAGTTGCTAGCAACACCATCACCATTTTCAACACTGCTGTCTACTGCCAACCCACCTTCAAACCACTACAATCATTGCCTCACCCTCAAGTACCACCTCATTGTCACTGTCGTCACTGACATTGCAACTACTCATTCTATCTCTAACACCACTACTGCCTCAATCTTTACCACCAGTCCTACAACTATTGTTTGGGTTTTTGGGTTTTTGGGTTTCAATTTCAGAAGCAGGGTAAATGTCTTAAGCAAATATTTTTGAACTGTCAATACCACTGTTTACAAAACAACAGATAGTACAAGAGCTTATTGATATTTTATCTAATGCACCTTTATCCTATTTCACTTGGTGCATCAGATAGGATAGGATAAGGTCAAATAGGATAACCTAGCTTCTTATCCTTTCCATTCTTGTTCCAATCCACAGGCAAGATCTAGTTATACAATATACAAAGGATTTAAAAAAACCATCTACATGAACTGTTCACTATTCTAACATTATTTACTGTTTAAGAAAAATAAATAAATGTTTTAATCTTCAAGGTCAAATATTTTCAGAGTTGACATTAATCCCAGTAATTTACTAATTTGACAAACTTGGTAGCAGCACATGAAACAAATTCAAATTTTGAAAGTCAGAATCAAACCTCATCAAAAGAACCTGACTCTTTTATAGTTGACTGAACTGTAGATCTATGTCTATGAACTGCTTTCTTGGCATCACTCTCCGATGTTGTATCCCTGCACATTTTGCAAAAATAATAAGACATAACTTTTGGAATAAAAAACCCATCAGTGTAAAAATCAGCTTCACAACCCTGGAAGTATAGTGAAAACCATAAAAATATACAAAGTAGGTACTAATAACTTCAAAAAAATGTTGGCTTGATACAAGACAATTAGCTGGCACGTATCTGCACTGTTGTATGGGGGTCCTGGTGCAAAACTAGCTCTTTGGTAGAAAAAGATGAGTTGTACCATAATAGGATTCCCCACTCATGTCTATTCTCTGTTTTTTTCTTCACCAACGGCTCTTTGTTTCTCACTCTCTTTGAATCTTCTCATCTAAGTCACCTTCTCTTCTCCATCATTTTCCAGCCACACCACTATTTCCCATCTAGCCATGGTATTATCCCAGAAACCTCATTTTTTGTTTCCTACCGTTTTGCTTGTATACTTTGCTTAAATACTACTCAAATCTATCATTTTTTGTTCACAATTATGCATATGCAATGAATTATGAAATTATGAGTATGTTTTGAGCATTATGTGTGTGCAATTACGTGCATATAGCAGTCATCCCTCGATGTTCTATCCTGCTATTGTTTTCGGGACCAACTGTTATGTGCCACTATCTGACATTGATAACTATGATTTGTAACTTACTTGATCATCCCAAGTTCTTCCATGCATTCCATCAACTTCTTGTGCCTAACATAAAAGAAGATACATAAAAGAATTTATTTAATGAGATAAGTTGGTATCTTATCTAACCATAATTAAACAATGAGCCAGTTACCCTGTTGACAGAAACTCGGCTGCTTTCACATTTGAAGGGCTTTCCAGCCATGTACTGTATTTAATAAAGCTCTGCATCCAATGAGAGCAAACATCAAAAGCTTGGGGCACTGCTTCAGCATTTGGAGGACCTTCTTGTTTACTTCTGTGTGTATGTGACTGTTTTGTAATGCTGGTGATTCCCGGATAAAAAGGAAGCCAATCCAGCTCTTCACAAACTACCTATGCAGTTAACAGGCTTTTACCAGTTAAAATAGCTTAATGATTAAGCATATCTGTCAAATGTAATGGCCATAAGTACTAACCTCCACATACAATTGATATGAACTAATAGATGAGAGCTGAGGGTAGTATAAAACACTACCTCCAATAAGATACCTGTACCAAATAGTTATATAAATAAGTGAATGCTCAAATACTTGTAGAAAGCAGAACGAAGTTAAAAATAAAGTCGTTTAAGTCTGAATTTTATGGAAAAAAAAGGGGAGAAGAAACACTTTTACAGTGATATGGAGCGTGTAAAGACATCAACCAAATACACCTACCTATTCTAATTATCTAGGTCAAGTACTAGTGTAGTTCAGCTAGTACAAGCCCACCCCAAAATCTACTAACATGATAAGACTCCTAAAACAATAAGAAACAATATTTTAACAAAAGGAATCATAAATAATAGAGGTTGTACCTGATGAAATCTTCAACAGGATCATCTAGAGTATCAAAACCATTTGTCAAAAGAAATGACCGTGTACTTCTGCCTAAAGCAATAAAGAACCCAAAAACAGCCAAATCCTTCTCCAACACCTGCACTATGCTAACATTCAATTGAAGTATTGTGTTACAACAAAGCACATACATGAATGGAAGAGGATTTAACTGTATTATACTCAACTGAATGCATCTATTCATTCTTTTGTATTTTATTTCAGAAGTTTCTTTCTCTTGAATTTTTTTGTTGATTATGTGATATTTATTGGTTCTTTCTATCTTTCCTAGTAACTTTATTCAGGAGATTGTTGTATCGTATCTCTTATATTGAAGATTCATTTCTTTGTACTGTATACATGGCATCTACATATATTTATACATTTGTGAGCCTTGCGCATCAATCAGTAACAGAAACTCAGTTTTGTATCTGTTATTCAAGTCTTTTTAATAGAAAAAGTAAACTTAGCTCAATATTAACACATATTCTTTCACATAAAAAAATCATTTTGACACATTACGAAATACTTCCTCACAGTGGAAAAGCCGTAGTGGTTGTTGTACACACTAAGAAATAGAACTTTTTAGAAGCCCACCCGAACAAAACAATTTCTAGAACAAGAATGTCATGAAATGCAGATGTTAATACAAAAGTTGCAAACAAAATAACATAACCACATTATCAATAAGAATTTGTAAAATAGAAAATTTCAAGCATAGTATAGGTTTCACTGAGGTAGTCCAAATGTAAGAGTAGTCATTTCAACGGAATCTGTATTTCTAGACATCTAATCCAGCATAATCTCTCTAGAAGGGTCAAAACCAAGCTCTCTTTAAATTTGAATATAACTAACCTCAATACTTTCAGATGTCGTCAGTCTTGACCATATTTTCTCCTTATCAATAGCTTGCTGCAGCTGCCTCTGAGCAAGATTTACCCAGAAAACCACCTCTTCTGCACCCCACTTCTCTTTCACTCTACATGCTGCTGCTCGAGGACCAAAATGTACAAGAAATTCTCTGTGCAGGCCAATATTCTTTATAGAATTATATGCTTGACTTACAGGAATTAAACCAACCAGCATGTCCATCAAACTACCAGTTATCTCGGTGATCATGGAAAAGAACTGTGAACAAGAAATTTTGGAAGGGCCAAGTTTAGCAATTGCAGCGATGCATGTTATTGCAAGCAGGAGAAGTGATATGTCACTTGCACTGCTGAAATTTTTTCCAGACCTGGGAATGCAGTTAAAAGATCATTTATGCATTGTCTATAAATATAATAATATGAAGGTACAAGAACTGAGCAGTAAAGTTGATATCTCAATATATAGAAAACATACAAAGCAATGGCAGCAGTAAAGCGTCCATCCCCTTCTAACTTATTAACAAAGGATGTCACTACAGCTGGAACTTGCTCAGACCAAAACCATTCATATGCTTCAGGCTGTTTGGCTGATAATTTTTCTCGACATAAACTCTCTAGGGGAGCAGATAGCCTTAGCAAACTGAATCAATGCAACATTGCACAACTTTTAGGCCCAAAGATGCAAAGAGAAAATAACCATCAAACACAGCAATAACAATCAAGGAAAGGTTGAAAGGCAGTCAAAATATTTCATAACCATACAATCACCTTGTGTGTGGGTAGAAAATTGAGTGATATTTAATATAAGTGTGTGACTCTTTGATATGAAACTTACAACACAAGTTACTCACTTAAACACGTCCAAAAATTCAAGCGAGATGATTCTCATAGGAACTGGATCCCAACATCACTTTTGAATTGCATGGGATACCCAACAGTGGCTAATCTTTATTCTTTAAACATTTTCTTTAAGTTTGTTTTGCTTGAATATGAAAAAATATTTTAGAGTGGAATATCTGCAGTTTAAAATCAACTGCAGAGGATCTTGATCCACTCTCGTAAATCACAATATTCAATAAATTTTAGCTTTCATCAGGAAAACAAAAAAACATATTTTAAACATCAGAATTTGACATTAACATTTGTAAAATAGCTTTAGAATACACACATTAACAATATGAAACATAAAATGAACAAATTACTAGTCAAATTTTCTGGTACATCTATTACAGCGCACAAATTCTAGCATAGATTTTTATTTCCTTCTGATAAATAAGTCTGATGGAATGCAAAAGAAACAAAAAAAATCAATCAAATTGCAAAGCAACATGATACCTCTTTTGAACAAATGCATTGACATTTCTGTCTCTGCCATCACTTCGAGATGAAATTTCACTTGCAGCATGCAATAAGGAGTAAACAGCAGCCTGGGAGAATTTACAGAACCTGTTTCTCAGTTATTCATAAATTTTGAAAACTCGGAAACAATGAGCTCAAGTGACTTCTGAGTTACCCTTAGATTGTAACAGTTCTTGTAGCAAAGGCAATAGAAAAAACATTACCCATATTAATTTATGATGAAGCATATATATACACCACCAATATACATGGCGAAACATGGCAAAAACTACAGAAATGATGGAGAACACCTCCTAAAACCACAGAAATAACGGAGATGGGCTATAGGCTCTAATACCACATCATGAACCCACTATCTCAAAAGCTTAAGCTGTTTAGTGACGACACGTGATTAGTTTTACATTATATTTCAAATACACACCCTCATGCAAGAGACTTTTGGGCTTGAAGAGTGGACGATGCACAAGATTCCCTATCTTGTGCTGAACTTCAATAGAAAAAATGGTGTTAGGGATCAAACTCTAGATCACTTGATCATAAAGAGTAAAGACTGTTACCATGTCAGATCCATCATAAAACCAGTTGGGCATAAAGTAAAGTTGCTCAACAGGTATATAAACCATACCCCATAATTGAGGCAGCCAATGTGAAACATTCCAACAACCCCGTCCACATGCTTGCTGGACCAGGCAACACATGGTCAGAAGTCAAAACCACAAAAACAATGCAGATCCCCTCCACAAACCATGAAAAAAATGGAATTGAGCTTTAGGCTCTAATGCCAAATTGAAGGAGAGGTTTTCTAAATAGTGAATGTAATTCTGATTAATTCAAATGTACAAGGAATTTGAATGATATATATGGAGCAATTCCGATTGCTATTTTCCTATAATAGAACTACAATACAAGAACAAAAAAATCTAATTCCATTAGGTGTGGTCAGCTACATAGATCCCAAGATGTCATTGAGAAAACCTCTCTTATAATAGAACTACATTACAGGCTACAAATTACTAATTACAAAAAATAGCTGTTCAAGAACTAATTACAAAAAATAACAATCAACATGATGCTTTTATTGGTCGGCAGAACAGAGAAATTATTAGTAGCTTTCCATATTCATGCACTGCATATCTGCTCTATTGATGACAATTTTAAGTTACTGAAAATGAATTAGTATCAACGATAAAAAGCTCAGAAGAGACACAACACAAGGACACTGTATGCAGCTCAATGATTGACTGATAATATGCTCTATTAACCCTGATATTGAACAGTAGTCAATAGAGTGCTGTAGTGAAGAAGCAGAGCAGAGCGGCCCTGGGAAGATATGGGATTTGAATAGCAGAGCAGTTTTCAATGACTGCCAAAATTGCAGCTTCTCACACACTATTGTTGTCCAACCTTGATATAGGCTTCAAAAACCCATTTTAACCCTGAGACAATGTTTAGGATTTTTTTTAGGAAAAATTGTGATTTGTCCCTGATTTTCTAAAACATTTTTTGCTTCAGAAACAGTAGTATTTGAAACCCTTCTTCATTGACAATTCACACAAATAATTACATCTGTTTTGACCTCCATTCCTTCACACTTTAAAGAACCATTTTCTTCCCTTTATTTCATTCATTCTTCTTCATTTAGACTTCCCAGTTCACATTCCGCTAATTTTTATCTAATGTATTTCGTTCATTTTCTCTATTAATTTCACCATTTTCTTTCAGTTTTTTTACCTTAATTACCATGCTTTTATTGCTCCAAGATTGATGGTGATTGTTTGTGTAAACTGTAACTTATTTATCATGAATTTCTTTATTTTATTTTTTTGTTTTTTGAGTATTTGTATGTGGAGCATAAATTATTTAGTTTGTATTATAATATTTAAAATAGTGGCCATCTCACTATCCAGCTATGGCATTTTCAAAGATGACCGCTATGTGCCACCACTAAGATTGATAACTATTGATGTTCTCAAGGACATGACTAAGAATGGAAAGCATCTTCTGATAACTGTAACTGTGTTTGTTTACTGCCATATTTTGGTGCATATTTTTATTAGAATACCAACAAAAGGCATGCAAGGTAAAACCTATAGTAACACCTCCTTTTACAACTTATCTAGTGTGTTTTTGGCTAAGCAAACACAAGGTAGACGATAGAATAACATGCTATTGCAAAGGCTATCAGTCAAAAATTCATATTCACAATGACCAGTCATATTTTCCATGTGATATGACCCAAATAATACTATCTAATAATAGTCACAATAATATCTGTCAAAACAGTGCCATACCTGACAAGACAATGCCTTCACCCAGGCATTTTGGTCAAACCCAAGCCAAGCTGTTGAAAACCAGGACATTCGTGAGTATGATTTATACTCTTTAACTGCCAATTCAAAAACCCTGGCAGCATCATACAAGGCTTGGACAAGTCCATCACAGAACTCGTCATCTTCCAGTGACCTATTCAGTTTCATTCTCAATTTTTCAAGGTCTGAACTGGCGCTACCTTGGAGGCTCCCATTGACAGTCACGCCATCATCAGAGGAGGCAAATGGGAGTAGGCGCACCCCCGTTCTAGGTTTAGAAAACATCAGATAGCAATTTCTAGATCCCACCAAACCATGATTACTGCTCGATAAAAAATCATGTCGAATGAGGCATCCCTTTCTTGAACTACCCCATTTACTCAATAGTAAGAAATGCAAGTCCGACACTTTTCTTCCCGTGTAAGGGGAACCATTTGAAAGCCAACAATTCGAAGAGCTGCCAAACAATAAGCAATCAGAATCAGCCACAGATAAACACAAAACATTATATGCAAGAACACTGCTCAAAGGAATGCAATAAATATGAAAACAAAGAGCAATAGTTCAACCACACTAATACACTATTTCTTACGGTGGTGGTGCAACCTATTACATCACTACTTTAAATATTTTTACCAATTGCTCTGTTAACCCATAATACATCCATGTATCATCTAAACCTCTCAAACACGATAATACAACAAAGTCATATCACTATCACCTGAAAAACTTGCAAGAAAACTATGCATCGCAAGTCATAATTAATATCTGTCTTTTTGCACCGATCGAAGTGATTCGTAAACACATATTTCCATGCAGCAAAAAACAAGAACACCAAAATAGGGAAAACCGAAGCGAAAAGGAAACACTAGCTGAATCGCAATTGCCCTCACAAACTAATTTAGGCGAATGCTATATAATAAACAAGCGTTTCAATCGTAATCTATATGGAAAACCTAGCTTCCTCCATACTCACTCAGCAAACAGGAATAGTAACGAGCAAAGGAAACAAACATAGAGAAATCGATAACCTTAACGCGAGAAAGTTGTTGGTGCTGTGCAATTTAACCGCCATGTAGTAGATGGAGCAGAATTCGACGGAGAGTTGAGTCGCGGTTGCCGCAGAGAGAAAACAGTGAAAGAGTATAAGAGTTTCCGTGACCAAACAGAAAGGGGAAGAAAGAATGAAGGAAGGGGATGCTGATGTGGCACGAGGGATGCTTTATCCGTATACGTGGAGAGCCCACAAATCACACACCGTTGTCTTCGTGACAATGCCTACTTGACTGAACTTACATGTGCGTCGTAACCACTCGCTCATTTTCTCTGCCTCTAACAACATACGGTTATGTAGTTAACAGTATGTAAGCTTTTTTATTTTATTTTCTTTCATATTATCGCTTGTTTCTTTTTTTTTTTAAAGAGTATTTTTATATGTTTTCATAATATTTTTTATTCATCATCTTAATATTTATAAAATAATTATTAGATAACAAAGATAAATGTATTTAATAATTAAAAATAAAAATAATTTCTCTTAATTACTTAATAAAAATAATGTAACATATTTTTAAATTTTTTAAATAATAATTGAGTCTAAAATAAAAACACAAAATTATCATGTAATTGTTATCGTTAGGGATAGAGGTGGGTCAAGTTGAACTTGACTTTGTAAGGGTTATTAATATTAAGGCCTTATTTGGATAAATATTTCAAGAAATTTATATAAAAAGAAAAAATTAGTATAAAAAAATAAATAAACTTTTTTTATAACTTATAAATAAATTTGAAAATATCTTAATAAACTATATCTAAAACCTTATTTAAATAAATTAAAATAAACTTCTAAGAAACATAATCTACTTTTGTAAACTCTAAAGTTAAAAATATTTCGAAGTTTATATGCAGCGAGATGGTTTTAAAATATCTGAAAACAAACACTTTAAACGTTAAAATTAAAAAGTAAATAAATATAAACATTTTAAGTTAGCCCATTTAAAACTCACATCCATACAAGATCAAAATGGGCTAGCCCACAGCCCATATTGCGCTATTTTTAAGTAAATGTATCTTTGTAATATTTATTTTAAATTAAAATTTCATATTTATAAAATTAAAATTTTTATTTTATTATATATTAAAAATTTTCAACAAAATAAATATTCGATATTGGATTATAGTAATTATATAAACGAGGACAATGAGAATGATGATATCACAGTTGAAGAATGATTTTTTATAAATAAATTAAATAATTGAGACACTAGTGAAAATATTTTTAAAAAATATTTAATATTATTTATAGTTTTTTCTAATTTTGTTAATAAAGTGATTTGATGATTCTAAAAATATATATATTTAGATAGATATTTAATATTTTTAATTTTAATACGTCTAAAAATAATATTATTAATATAATCTTTTGTGTTTAATATGTATTAAAATAAGTTTTTTTAAATTTAAAAATTTAAAATAGATTGTCTCCATAAGCTTGTTATCTAAAAAAATTAAACTTAATTATCATTTTAAAGGTTTGAATCATTTCAAACTTTTCTAGCTCAACTTGTGTTAACCCGTTACTTGACACACCAATTTAAATTAGGTCAAGTACCTCAAAATAACAAGTGTACAAAATTTATTGTTTTGAAATTTAAAAAAGTTTCCATTTCAGTAACTTCAACTTAAAATAAAAATAGCAATCCAAAAAATAAATTAAAGTTAAATTATACTTTTAAAATACTTTAAGTTTAAGTGAAAATTTGATTTGATTTTATTTTTTATTCATTTTAATCATCAAAGTTTAACTCAAATTTTACTACAATTATATATATATATATATATATATATATAATTTATTCCTTTAATCTAATTTTTCAAAGAAACATAATCTTTTAACTTTATTTTATCTTTTAACTTAATAAAAGTTTTTAAAATAGCAATATTTTGAACACTCTTATTTTATAATTTTTTACACATTTTACTATTTTATCTTCTAAAATTTTTTAATTACCACTAAGTTTTTAGCTATGAGGAAACTATTTCTAATTAATTACTCAATGTTTGCTTCTTATTATTATTATTATTATTATTATTATTATTATTATTATTATTATTATTATTATTATTATTATTATTATAAATACATGCCAATCATTTTTATTTTACATTATTGATCAAATCTCATGTATTTATAATTTTTATTGTTAATTTTTTTTATTATAAACTCATATTTATACTAAATACCAAAACATTCTCCAGTAAAAAAAATCAAAAAGCGAAGCTAAGTTAAAAACTAAAAAAAAATTACCACACAAAAAAGATTTAAAGATTTAAATTAAATTTGAAAAATTAGATAACTAAATTAAAACTTCAATTAAACTTAAAATACAAAAAGTATAACGTAACGAAAACTAGAAATAAAAGAGATCCTAAAACATGCAACCCACGACGGTTGCTAAAAGGATACGTTCAAAGGAATTTGGGAAATCCAAAAAAATCGGAACTTGCAATGAAATTTCAATTTGAGAAATGTTAATTGTACAAAAAAGTTATACATTTTTTTATAAATTATTTCGATAAAAAGAGAGAAAAAAATCAATGACATAATAAAAATTGTGAAAATAATATAACTTTTTTCAATTTATCGCGAGCAGGCGGTGAGTCGGTGACCGATCACTTCTTGTCCTTAGCATTGTGGATTGGGTGATTTTTATAGGGCTTCTTCTTTTGGAGTGCCTTGAAAAAAAAAAAACTAAAAAACAAAAGAACTTGGAAACTTGCACTTGCAATGAAAATTTCGTTGTATCATTCCATGATAATGGTTCCTTAAAAAAGAAAAGAAGAAGAAGAAGAAAAGAGTGAGCGTGCGTGTGAGAGTATTCTTCACTATTAATTCAATTTTTATACTTTCACTGGGGAAAGAAAGTTATACCAAGTACTGATTTCATTAAGTTGGTCACAACCAAAAAGGTTTGAAAAGGTGCTTTCTCATCATGGGAAAAGCCGAAGAGAGCAAGAGCTATCAGCTAATTGAAAATACCTTGGATTTGATATTCATATTAGTTGAATGCTTGAGATGTAGTAACTTTACTGAAAATGTTCAATTCTGGGAACGATCTGAAGATTCCAAGTAAACTTGCTTAATCAGTTGAAGGCAGCGCAATATTAGTGTTAAACCACCATTTAAACATTGACTCGGTAAGAGAAAATAGAAATAAAGGGATTTTATGTTGGGATTTTACATGATTGGATATGGATCTGTAACTAGAAATGATAATTCTCATATTTATGACAACATTGTTCATGCGATAGATATCTACTCTGGACTATTGACATATTGTTTCAGTTTTTTATGTCATCATCAATAAAATAATGACAAACTTTATTGTTCTCTAGGTTTGTGTAATTAAAATAAATTTACTATTAGTATCTTAAAAATATTAATTATAAAATTAATAAAAAATGTCAATTTTGAATATTTAAATTTAATATTACTTTCAATTTTCTTATAGAAAATAAAAAACTAAATTTTTAAACTAATGAAAACAATTAAATCACTTACATTTTTTATAAATATAAATTTTATTTTAAAAATATCTATAATTATAGTTAATAATTTGTACAATTAATAGTATTAATAAAAAAGAGTATAAAAAATTTAATAATTAATATGTTTTCAATTTATTATTTATTTTTATAATAAAAACTAAAAAATATTCTATTTTATTTTTTTATAAAAATAACGGGAAAGAGTATTAAAAATAAAAAAGTTAATAAAAGTATAACAATATTAATAGTATTTTTAATAAACTATCTTTAAATCACCGAATAAATCAGGGTAGCGATAGTCTCAATAAAGGCACAACGATAACCTCAGAAACGCAGTCCAATACCAACTCCAATTTTAATTGGATAGAAAAATATTCGAAGCGTCATCAACTTTGTTGAAGTTATCCAATCCACTATTTTAAAAGAAAAATACAAATTTATAGTCATCGAATATTTCAACCTTTTATTTATGTGACTGATGGATAACGTCATGTGTGAGCAAGAAAAATGATACGATGTAACGATGCCATGTGTGCCTCTACCAATGCCCGTCTCCACCTCTTCCATCGCTTTGATCTAGACGAGGATTGAAATAGAAAATAATAAAACAAAAAACACGTAAATAAGATTAAAAGTAATATATTATTTCAACAAGTTAAATAAATAAATTATTATGTTATTTAAATATATCGAAACAAAAAGTAAATAATTTTTTTATTTATTTATGTAACTGAATAAAAAAATTTTAAAATCAAATATGTATGAGTATTTTAAATTAATTGTATTGAACTTTAATTTTAATTTATATAAAAATAATAATTATGAGTATTAAAGTTTAAATTTTGATATATTTAAAAAATCAAACATATATTTTAAATATTAATACAAAATATAAGTAATTTTAAATTTTTGTTTTATTATTTTTATTTTAAATAACTAAAAAAATTAAGAATAACTTTCTCTCATCTCTGGTCACCTAGAGTGGATTTTTTTTATCTAGACAAATTTTATGTTTTATCTTTTAATTTAAAAGTTAAATTCAATTTATTTTCTAACTTCATTAAATATTTATCAAGTTTTAAATAAGTTAATTTTTTTAAAAAATATTAACTTTGTTAAATTTTTTATTTATCTTGTTTTGTTATATGTACTATTTGTGAATTATTTATTATTTTCTTCTTCTTTTTTTCTCTTCTTCGTACATTATTCATTATTTTCTTCTTCAAAATTTATATTTTAATTTTTTTTCTTTTGTTTATTCATTCCTTTCATCTTTATCTTTAATCTTTCTCGTCTTTTTTTTTTCTTTATCTTCAAAATTTCACACACAATTGGAGTTGAGCCAATAGTTGTCCCCCTACAGTATCATTGCATTTCTAAGGAAAGAATGTGACTTCTTGCTTAAGCTAAAGTAAGAATATTACCATTTTTTCCAAAATTCATGTGGCATAAAAGATTTATCATCGTTAATTTTGGGTAGTTTCTATTTGCAAAAGAACAAAAAATTATAAAAACTTGTTATTTTGTCTTCTTATAAATTTGTGTGATTAAGTCATCCCAACTAATACATGGTACCTAGTAAAACTATCTATTAAAACTTCAACTATGCAACTAGTAAACTTATTGTTGGAATATTGTACAAGCTAATGAAGCCAAACTCTTAAATAAATTTAGCTAGCTTGCTATAGATTACATAAAACTTATTTTTTTTCAATTAGAATCAACATTTTATTTCAACAATTTATATTAATTATAGTTATAAACTAATTAATAAATGTTTGTAGGAGAAATAAAGAAATGTGAG